ATCCAGATACTAACCAGGAATATTTCTATGCCACCTTTTCAAGTCCTGTTTGAGGTGGCTTATAATTAAAAGAATGTCACAATATTAAAAACAAGCCATTGGATGCAATCAGCATAAAAATCAAGCTGCACTAGGACTGTTATAAATTGAAGTCCTGCCCCCCCCCCCCCCCCCCCTTTTCCCAGGGCAAATCAGCACTCTAGTACATGGGTTTGCCAGGCCAGGCCAGAGCCTCCTGTGTGCCACAACATCACTTCTGGCCCTGGGGAAAACCCAGAAATGACATTGTGGTGCACAGGATCCTGGCATTATTTTTCCTTCTGCCACTGTGCAGAGTGGTGGTTCGCAACAAGAGCTGTTCATGGGAGGCTTCCTGCCATAGCCCTCTAGTACTAGCCCACTAGTCCTACCCTGGTTATGGCCTTGCCCCAGAGCACGACATTAACTAGGCTGTCCTAAGCAGAGAGCCCACTGACTTCAGTGGACTTAGAAGGGTGTACCTCTGCTCATCATGATGCCATTACTAACAGCCTGTTGGGAGTCCTCTCTGAATATTCATTTGCTTGGCTGGCAGGTATGATTTTTTACTAGCTAGAATTTGCAATTAATAAAACATGAGTCCTCCTGCAATGTCTGTTTTGTATGCATGGCAAATGGGAAGAAGGGCGGGGTGGTCAACGGAGCTCAGTTTTTAGACTATTGATTTGCTGTAGATGGAGTAGCAGCCTGATATGCCATTGGAAGCATTTAGGAAAGGTTTTTAAAGTGATGCTCTTGAGAGGAGCTCCGCTGGAGATCCGAAACAAGAAATGAAGAATAAAATGTAATTCGAAATCTTCAGGGCCGAGGTGAATGGAAGGTACATTCTAACATGCATTTTTCGGCCTGCATCAAGATTCTGCAACAGAAGAGGATACCGAGTAAGAGAAAAATGATGCTTTAGAGTGAGTTACAGTTTTCCATAATCTACTTTGTTATTTCTTTTAAAAATCTAAATCCTGACGGCCCACCCATGTCTTTTTAATTTACAAAACAAGAGGGAATACTTAAGACCTTTTTAACAGTTAGGAGGTCACTAATCTGTATTTTTCTGAGCATGCATTTATATAAAATATACAAAAAAGAACCTTGCAGGATTAGACGAAGGTCAACATTCTTTGCAAGAATTCCAGCAAGCAGCCAGCATGAGGCGTAAGGTTGCCAGCTCTGTTTTGGGAAATACCCGGAGGTTTTGTGGGTGGAGCTTGAGGAAGGTGGGATTTAGGGAGGGGAGGTTCTTCAGTGGGGTATAATGCCATAGAGTCTACCTTCCAAAGTGGCCCTTTTCTCCAGGTGAACTGATTGTCACCTGGAGATCAGTTGTAATAGTGGGAAATCTCTAGCCACGAGGGAATGTATCCTCCAGGTGGGCCCTGGAGATTCCTTGGAATTACAGCCCATCTCCAGACTACAGAGATCAGTTCCCTTGGAGAAAATAGATGCTTTGGAGAGTGGACTGTTTGGCATTGTAGCCCACTGAGGTCCCTGTCCTCCCAGGGCTCCATCCCCAAATCTTCAAGAGCTTCCCAACCTGGATCTGGCCTCCTTACCCCTCCATCCCCCGCTGGTGGCCAGGGGGGATCTGGCTGCCCTATCAGCCACTGTCTGGAGGTTGGCAACCATAATTTGGTGGTCCATCAGAAAGAGGCCCCTGTGGTCTGCCTCTGGATGGAGGCCCACGTTTTGTCCCCTATGGCTTTAGAGAAGATCATAAGCATAGCTGCAGGTCCCCGTCCCAAGGACCTTAGAGCTGGAAATGCAAACTAGACCTGACCGGGGTTTGTGTATGGTCTAAATACATATGCATGTAAAACACATAGTGAGTGGGGAAATCTATGTTCTGTCAGTTAAGGATTTTTCTTCCAGTTCCAATATCAGAAGTGAGCTGATCCTCGGTTCAGTCCCTGGCATCTCCAATTAAAAGGATTAAGTAGTAGGGTGGCCAGCAGACCTGGAGAAGAATGTTCTCTCACTTTAATCGAGGATTAATGTGTGGAGATGCTTTTTGGGGCCTGAAGGTAAATCATAACATCTCATTAAGCCTCTATGAAAGGGATAGGGCTTCTTCTTCTCCAGGTGACTGGACACCCTAGTAGATGATGTGAAAGAAGATGTGAGACCCTGGAGAGCCACTGCCAGTTAGAGTAGACAATACTGACCTTGGTAGATCAATGGCCTGATTCAGTATTTGTCAGTTTCGTGTGTTTACATGGGTTGCAAAATACTGTACTTAAGGACTTCCTTTTGTCTTCTGTGCTTTTTGTGAGCCAGCAGAATATATAATGCAATTAGACAAGTGTAAAAGGCTAATCATCTTGTAGTCTCAGCATTGACCTTGGGGGTGAGACTGGAAGCCTAAGGCTAGATTTATTAAGCGATCAGACGGTCCAGGTTTCCCACCACAGACTCCAGAACAGCACGGCTGTAATGTTTAGCCCTCTCTGCTATTCCAGCGGCTCTAACCTTTTCCTGCTTCAAAGCTGCAGCCTCAGCAAACGGCTTGATCGGTTTCCCTTTTCAAAAAGCAAAATCAGCCTAATGACCTTCTCAGCCACAGAAGAGGCTAGATTGGAAAATAGTTGAGCCTTCCTGGTCTATTTAATCTTCCAATAAGTTCACAGTGGTAGAGAGAGTGATGGGGTTGGGGCAGGGACCTTAATCACGTTGGTCATGCTGGGAAATAAAGGGCAACCAGGAGTCTTGTTTTATAAGGCCACCATAGGTTTTGCCGAGCTAATAATGCTGTGATAACTACAAATTATCACTTCTGGGAGGTGCAAAGTCAGGGCAGGAGAAGGATGAACACCAGTCATTACTGGCTGAATTAATTCACTGTTTTGCCTGCAGGCAAGTCTCCTGTTGTCATGCATATTTTCACTACTCAGACTTTTCTGTACAGTAGGGATGTATGTGTTTTGGTAACCTTTCTCTCTTTTTTTGGTATTTTTGCTATGTGTGTGTGTGCCTACCTTCTGCCCACGCCTGGAAGTCATGGTGACCACTGGCGACTGGGGTATGGAGGATGTGCAGAGAAGTGGCTTGATAGGCTGCCTCTGGCCTCCCGGCCCTGGTATTCTCTGGAGGGCTCCCATCCGATTCTTGTCAGGGTCAGCCCTGTTTAGCTTCTGAGATCTGATAAGATTGGGCTTGCCTGGGCTATCCAGGTCAGGGCATGTTTTGCTAACCTCTCTGATAGGTTACAGCCATTGTGCTCTACATGGGGCTGCCCTGGAAGGTTGTTTGGAAATTATAGTAAGTACAAAATGCAGCTGCCCATTTCTTGGAGTGGAACAGGCAGCCAAGAGCATGTGGCACTGGTGGTTCCTGGTTGCTGACACTGGCTCCTTGTTGTTTTCCAGGCAAGCTTTAAAATGCCGGTGATTGTGACTTTTATATATAGTGGCGGCATATCTCCAGGAATGTAGGGTCTGACATTTCCACCCCCAGACATTGGACATTTGGGGATTTGGAGATTTTGGACATTCCAGTTGGAGAAAAGGCAGTCAGATGCCTTCTACCCATTGTCCACCTGCTCCCTCACCTGTTCTTCTCTACAACTAGAGTAGCATTGTTACAGAGAAGGGAATTTCTTTTTCTGATTCCCTTTTTAAGATCTAGCCATGGATTCCTCTTAGTCTCTTTTTTCCCCTTTGATTTTTCTTTGACGGGAAAGCGGTGCACCCTTTTGTAACTTCAGGAGGACAGGAAGGCCTGGGAGGACATCGCCTGCCTCTCAGCATGTACAGAGTGAAATTCTAAAATGCTGCAGAACCTCCCTTCCTGCCCCTCCCCAGTTCCAAAGGTCTCTTTGGTTAAAACAGAATTGGTTAGAAACAGACTTCAACTTTCTTTTGAAAAATTAGGAAAGGAAACGGATTGTTGGATCTCAGAGAGAAACTGGGTAAAGGGGAATCAAGAGAATTTCTCTTAACAAGAGTAATCTGGAGCCTTGATTATCACAGCAGCTGCGGGAGAAAGACGGGTGAGAAGCCACGGCTCCCTTCCCCCCACTTCAGCTGGTGATGTGAAGGGCGACACCCAGTGCCTGGGGTAAGGTGGCAGCCCTCTGTGAGCACCTTCAGCCTAATGAACCCCAACATTCGCCATGACCTGTGGGGGACATGTGTGTCCCATCTCTCCATGAGGTTAGCTCAGCAGATAATCTAATCTTCCCAGTTGCAGCACCTACCCTCTGGATTGCTGCACCCTAGAAAAGCCTGTGGCTCATAAAGACTCGTAATGCCTCCCTGGGAGAATTTTTAATTGCTTCTTCAAGGGTTTCATGCCTTGACAGTTATGCTCATGCAGTCCTCTCTGCTAGGGTAGCCAGGTCCCCCCCCCCCCCAGCCACCGTACCGGTTGTCCAGTCCAGGTTGGGAAACTCCTGGAGATTTGGGGATGGAGCCTGGGGGGGACGGGCACCTCAGGAGGGTACAGTGCCATACAGTCCACCCTCCACAGCATCCATTTGCTCCAGGGGAACTGATCTCTGTAGTCTGGAGATGAGCTGTAATTCCAGGGGATCACCAGGTCCTACCTGGAGGTTGGCATCCCTACCTGGGAAGCATGGGTCACAGCCCCAGGACTCCCCCCCGGTGGTTTTTATGAATATTACAGCACAATCAAGTGGCGCAAGCATCAGCTCTCCAAGGTTATAGAAGAAGGTATTCTCCAGCACTGTTGCATGAGATCTTGAATGAGACACACCAGACATTGAACATGCGGCTCTTCTACATGCTAAGCGTGTGTGAGAAGACCTCTTCTCTTGAAGGCCCAGCCAACCTATTGATTTATGAAGCTACTGGTAAAAAGCTTCTTTCTCAGTGTACTCAATTCAAGTATGACAGTTTCCTAAAAAGGTGACGTGTTCTTAGACAGTGTGTCAGCTCAAGGTTTACTGAGAGAGATATGAAATGCCAGAAGAACCTGCCATGAGTAATTTCTCTTTCCATCTTTCACAGGGCATCTAGTGAATGCCAGCACGGACCTTCTGAAGTTAGACCACGAAGAGGAGCCACAGTTAACAGAGCCATATCTTTCCAAACAGAAGAAACTCATGGTGAGGCATTTGAAGCAGCAGCAGGGATTCTGTTATGGCAGGGGAGGGTGCAAGAACGTACTTAACACAAAGTACATCAAGGTCCCATTTCTACAGAAGATGGGGGTTATTAATATTGCCAGCACCGGTTGGGAAATTCCTGAAGATTTGATGGTAAAGCTTGGGGAGGGCGAGGTTTGGGGAGCAGGCCCGTAGCTGTGGTGGGGCTTTTGAGCGTTCTGCCCCCTTTCTTAAAGGCACAGCCCCACAAGAATTTCTCCTGTAAATGCTTTTTTTCAATCATTAAAAAACATTTTTAAAGGTGTACACTCCGGGAGTGGGGTGCTGTAGCTGCCTAATTCCCACACTGAGCAAGGGGGTTGGAGTAGGTGTCCTCTAGGATCCCTTCTAACTCTGTTTCAAGAAACTGATCTCCTTTAATAGAGTTTTTCTGCCTGTTAGCTTGCTTGACTATAGAAGCCATCACCGCCACCTGCTGGCTTGTTATGAGAATTGTTGCTTAGGCTGGCAGAAGTGATTAACTTGCAGCAGCTGAGAACTGTCATCTAAAGTGGTTGACAGCTTGAAATTTTGAGATCTATACTGGTAACAGCTTTCTTTTGGCTAAATGGCTTTTCTTTCTGCACTGAGAACTGTCTGCACTGAGAACAACCATATGGGGTTTGAATTGAGATCAACGGTTTGCAAAGCACAAATCATATCCACCAGTTACCCCCTGCCAGCCCTGTCCATTGTCTTCATAACTGTACACAGTGCTGCTGCCTGCCATTTTGACTGTCTTTGCCATCAAATGCTACCCTGGAGCCCTCCCTACTGCTTGTCTCTAAAACTCCCCAGATCCAAATAATATTCCTCTGAGCAACTTTATTGTAGGCTTTCTGTTCTCTTTATCTTTCAGTATTATATAATATTTTCCCAGAGTCTCCTGAGCACCATTTTGAATTGAAGGATAACTAAAATAACGTGCAGATCCTGATGAGGTTTTAATTTATCCTTCTTCTTTTTTAAATAAAAGACATTTTTCATTCTAATAGTGTGCACATCGATTTGTAAGGAGATTCTTTCCAGGAATATACTCTCTTCTTGCGTGATTAGCTTGGTATGAAGATTTCATTATTTTAATTTAGGCCAAAATCCTGGAACACGACAATGTGAACTACTTGAAGAAAATCCTGGGTGAGCTGGGAATGGTGCTAGATCAGATTGAGGCCGAGCTGGAGAAGAGGAAAATCGAATACCAAGGTAGGTATCATGTCCAATCTGGCATGGAAATGATAGTCTGGGATTCTAATCTTAAAGACAGCTGTACCCTTCTAAGGGCACTGAAGTCAATTGGCTTAGAAAGCCAATCCATCCCCAGAACGCCCCCTAAATACCCCAGCCGGAGCAACGAGGGAACCTGGCAACCCGAGCCAGGCCTTTGCTAGGGCTGCCAGGTCCCCCGAGGGGGCAGGGGGGTTTCTGCCGAAAGGGCCCCCAACCCACCGGCCCAGATCCAGATCCGGCCCCCAAAGTGGCCGGATTGGGCCGACGTGCCCGGCACGATGACGTCACCCAGAAGGAAAACTATGGTACCATAGAGTTTTTTGGCTGATTGCTAGAGCATCGCCTGGCGATGTGCCTAGCGTGATGACATCACTTCCGGGTGACATCATTGTGGCACATGCACAAAATAACTCCCGGACGGAGTGCAGGACTCCCCCACTATTATGAAGGTAGGGCTTGGCAAAGCTATGAGGACAGCAATGGCACTCCCTTCCTCTCCCCCCACCCACCCACTTATTGCAAGACAGTAATGCATATTGTATGTTGACAGTATTTTGGCACCATTCTGATATATCTTAATGATTTTAACTCCTGGATTTTAAATTGTACAGTTTTGTTGTTAACTGCCCTGAGCTCTGTGAATTCAGAGAAGGGTGGTATATAAAGCCAAATTATAAATAAATGAAGAAGAACCAGAAAGTTATTCCTAAACAAGATTGGAAAATGTGTCTGAAAATGCCTGCAATAATTCTCCTTCAGAAGCCTGGAATCTTAGTGAATTTAGAAATGTGTATTATCTGGAGGGAGAGCTAGCTAAGCTCACACAGTAGGGAACCCTAGAGACATCTCTTCCCAGCAAAGACAGCAGAGTATTAAAGGTTAGCCTTTCCTCTGCATAAACATAACACTTCTAATAAGGGTACCTGTCAATGCATTTGGGGGCTGGCCTGCACTGAACATTTGCAAAGGGCTTTGAAAATCATCAGGGTTTTTGCACTTCAAGCCACTTCCGTTTTCTTCTCTGCAATGTGCTTGGAAATCCCTTAGCTGGTATGGGTGAGCTACTTGCAAAAGTACAAAGGTGGTAGACTTCACAGTAAGAGGTAACCTGCAATTAGGAGTGCAAATCGCTGTTAAGAGTCATGGTTTTGAAGGCTATTTTTTTGGATGCCTCATTTTATGTTGAAAAATTCCATGTACGAGAGCATTAATAACTTTGCTGGGAAATCTACATTAATTGAACACATCACAGGACAATTGTTGAGTTACAGTGTTATAATTTCCAACTCTCTCTATAATTACAGGTAGAGTTATTACAATTCTGCTGAAGCACAGGAACACAGTTTATCTCAGCTGCAACTAAAATAATTCTAGGTTGTGAAGGTTGCAAAAAATGCTTAACATTAGGGGGTGAAATCTCAGAAGCCAAAGGGAGTTTATAATCTAGTCCATGTAAATTGATGCACAGTGGAAGGGTGGGAGCATCAGGGCCACGTATAGCTATTTCCACTAAGAGAAAATAAATCATGCAAAACAACAACAATGGTAGAATTAGCAACAATGGTAGAATTAATTATGCAAAGTAAGAAATGATGTGTTTGCTTCCTTTGCAATACCAATTCTGACAACTGCATCAATTAATAATTTGGTCAAAAGTCACCCACAATGTGTAATAAAAACACACAGCTTTCAAGACAGATAAGAACATAAGAAGAGCCCTGCTGGATCAGACCAGTGGTCCATCTAGTCCAGCATCCTGTCTCACACAGCGGCCAACATCAGGGCACAGAGGCCGAGGCCTTCCCCTGACGTTGCCTCCTGGCTCTGGGATTCAGAGGATTAGTGCCTCTGAACATGGAAATTCCACTTAGTCACCATGGCTAGTATCCATTGATAGACCTCCGTAAATCTATTTAATCCCTTTTTAAAGATGTCTGTGCCTATGGTCTTCACTACATCATAAGAACATAAGAGATGCCAATGTTGGATCAGGCCAAAGGCCCATCCAGTCCAACACTCTGTATCACACAGTGGCCAGAAATACCAGTGCCATCAGGAGGTCCACCAGTGGGGCCAGGACATTAGAAGCCATCCCACTGTTGACCCCCCCAAGCACCAAGATGACAGAGCATCACTTGCCCCAGAGTCCCTATCTATACCTTGTGGCTAATAGCCACTGATGGACCTCTGCTCCATATGCTTATCTAATTCCCTTTTGAAGCCGTCCATGCTTGTAGCTGCCACCACTTCCTGTGACAGTGAATTCCAAGTGTTAATCACTCTTTGGGTGAAGAAGTACTTCCTTTTATCCGTTCTGGCTGCAAACTCCACATTTTAATCACTCTCTGTGTAAAGAAGTGTTTCCTTCTGTCTGTCCGGAATCTCCTGCCCATCACCTTCATTGGATGCCTTAGTATTTGGGGAGAGGGAGGAAAAAGTTCTCTTTGCCAACTCTCTCCACCCCGTGCATAATTTTATAAATGTCTAATAAAGTGTGGCATCTCTTTCATTATTTGCATTTTGTCTCCCCTCCTCCCTTGACTAGAGAGGTCTCAGTCCTTTAGGCAATAATGTTAAGAGTTGCCTCCAGATGTCGGGGAAGTTAGTACAGTGCTTGATTTCACATTCAGGGTCTGTTGCAAAGGTGAAACACTAGCAGTAGCTTTATTCAATTCTGCCAGGACTGACAGGGAAAAGGTAGTGTGGCAGGGAAGAGAGGCCCTGCCAGGTCCTTTCACTTCTCATGTCATGTAAAACCACTGTCACAGCAGGCAGTACAGAATAACTTTGACTAAATTGGCTAATTAATAGCTTTAGTTGCAGGTGAAAATTTGCTCTCCCCCGCTAATCTGAGATTCCAAGGCTGACCACTGGCTTCCAGCTCCCTGTCACAGCTTGGATGGGAATGAACCAAAGGTTCTGCAGCACAGGGTTAACAACATGCACGCCTCTCCATAGGTGGAAGTCCTGGTCAGGTGACAACCATAGGCCTGTGGTCACATAAGCAACTCCAGTGTAGAGCAGTGGAGGATCTAATTGACTTTGCTGGGCAAAATATTGACCTCAAATCTCCAGATGTGATTTACAATGTCTTTTTATGCTGTCTCTGTTGTGGTTTTTGTTTTCCAGGACAGAAGTGCGAACTCTGGCTATGTGGATGTGTTTTCACCTTGGCTGATATCTTGCTGGGAGCCACCCTGCACCGCCTCAAGTTTCTAGGACTCTCTAAGAAATACTGGGAAGACGGCAGCAGGCCCAACCTACAGAACTTCTTTGAAAGGATACAAAAACGCTTTGCCTTCAGGAAAGTTTTGGGAGACATACACACCACCCTTCTCTCGGCCGTGGTACCGAACGCCTTCAGGCTGGTCAAACGGAAACCCCCGTCCTTTTTCGGCGCCTCCTTCCTCATGGGATCTCTAGGGGGGATGGGGTATTTTGCTTATTGGTATCTAAAGAAAAAATACATCTAATGCTGGCCATTCTGGTGTTTAGTTTGGTGTCTTCTGTGCTGTGTTGAAACCATGATGAATCCTCAGTAAATGTAATGAAAATTTGAAACCAATATGAATAACTATACTGTTAATGTAACATTCCATAGTCTAGAAGTAGAAACTTATACTGCAAGGAAGTGAGTCAACAAAAATAGTCAACTTGTTTTTGGGGGAGGGAAAGGAGCCTTTTTTTTTTAGGTTTAACTGTTATAAAAACTGTAAACGGTAGATGTGTATAAGGCTTACACAGTCACCGTAGAGCAAAACTGCCCTCTAGCACAGTCAGGTGGCACAGAAGACGTCGTAACCCCCAACAAAACAGTTCAAAGGGGGGGGGGTCTCTTCTGTACCTTTACATTTCCCCCCCACTGTCTATTGGCCATATAGCACATTTTTTTCCACGGGTGCAAATAGCAGGGACTTTTCCTCGCCTCCAAACTGTGGTGATGGGATGTGATGTGATGAGCCAGAGTCTTTGTTCAGAAAGAGAATGAATGTGATCAATTAATCCACAGTAGTTGTTAAGGTTCTGGCTTCCGGTGGAAATGAAATCTCTCTCTCTCTCTCTCTCTCTCTCTTTGTATCATTCTTTCCATCCAATCAAGTATTTTTATTGACCTGCGCTTAGAATGTATCCACTTTCTACTTCTATTTTTTTAGTTTTTTGTATCTATAGCTAACAGCCAGTGGTCTTTCTGATTGTAATCTTGATTTCAGAAGATGAAATTCTGTCTTACCGAGGTGTTTGCCTCCAGCTTCTTTCATGAATTTTGCCAAGCATCGTTCACCAATGGAGCCTTTTCGGGACTCTTAACACCATGACTGTTTTCATTAAGTTTGAAGCCATTTCCAAAGGAGTTCTGTTATTTGGGACTTTTGTGTTTTCCTTCTGGAGCTTTTCTCGGTCACTGTCTCGCCGTGTATTTTCTTAGAAACACTTTGCACAGAAAAAAAAATCACGTTTTTCACTTTCTTGTGCCTTTTGCATGTCGGAAAGAATACGAAGCATCACTGCTACTCACGCTTAAAAAAAACAGCTCTGAGATCCTAAATAAACCATATGGGAGGAGTAATTGCTTTACATTTCTAAATGTGTTCTGCATCATTTGACTCATTTCCAAAAGTGTGTGTGTGTTTGTGTGTGTGCATATGCACATGTATGAGAGCACATCTGCCATTTTTCACTTTCACGTGTTCAGGGATTGGCTTAGATTCAAAACTAAATCTCAAACCCATGGCTAAGACCTGGAATATGGATATATTATATGCCTCTGAATATGTGCAGAATGCCTTTCTCTTGCCACTACTAAGCATAACAAGCTGCCAGCCAGATTTCTAGGCTGAGAGAGAGAGAGAGTTGCCAGGCTCTAGGTGGAACCTGGAGATGTCCCAAAATTAGAACCGATCTCCAGACAACAACATCAGTTCCCCTGGAGAAAATGGCTGCCTTGGAGGGTGGAGTCTATGGTACTATCCCCTGCCAGTTATGACCTGGATGTCCCTGGTTGGCCTAACCTCATCAGATCTCAGAAACTAAGCAGGGTTGGCCCTGGTTAGTTTTTGGATGGGAGACTATGCAGAGGCAGGCAATGGCAAACCACCTGTGAATGTCCCTTGCCTTGAAAACCCTACAGGGTCACCATAAGTCATTTGTAACTTGGCAGCACTTTCCACCACCACACCCCTGCCAAGGCCTGTTCTCTCCCCAAACCCTGTCCTCCCCAGGGTCCACCCCCCAGATCCCAGGAATTTCCCAATCTGCAGTTGGCAACCCTACTCCTAGTCAGAATCATGATTCTGAGGTAGGCTTGAACTCTGTCACCCCTCAGGATCCCCCTGTGTGGAGTTTGTACAGGAAATCACATTCCAACCCACAAATTGCAGAAATGGGACACACGGTTCTGGACTCATAAAACTATTCAGGCCTCTAAAGTGGTTTCTGGATCATCTTTTTGTTTTGCCTCAGCAAATGCAGACCAACAAAATTTGCCCTGTACTCAGTTGGGGATTTGCTAGATGCTTTGTGTGCTAGCCGTCATTCTGAATTATACTTTATAAGGAAGTTTACAAGGGAGCAGAGAATGGGCCAAGTTTGTGAATTAAGCTAAATTATTCAGGATAGTGAAAGCAGACTGTAAGGGTTTCCAGAAAGATCTCTGCACACTAGGTGAGTGGCCAACAAAGTGGAAAGTGAAGTTCAATGTAAGTAACTGCAAAGTGATGTACGCTGGGGCAAAAATCCTACTTTCACCCAGGGCTATTTTGGGGCAGGAACGCACAGGAACGGAGTTCCGGCTGGCTCCCGAGTTGGCCACACCCAGCAGGAACTCATTAGCATAATAGACTACGCCCAACAGCAGAAGCTTATTAGGATTGGCTACTTTAGGGGTGTGTGGCCTAACATGCAAAGGGGTTTTTGCTACAAAAAAAGCCCTGGGTTTTGACAACAAACAAGTTAACAGAATAAGAAGCAAAAGGTGGGTGTGGCTGGATGACCACACTTCTGGTAACATGAGGGTATGGCCTAGTATGCTAATGAACAAAGACAAATATGGTCACAGTCCATAGACATGAAAAGATAGAGCCACAGGAACTGTGTAAAGTGCGCTCAATGTTTCTTTAACAATAACAATAATATTAATATGAAAATTACAAAAATGATACTAATACACTCAAATTGTAAATTCAGTTATAGAAGATAACAAAGACGGCGGGACGGTAGTCTCCGGAATGTGATGCCGTTTCGACAACGTCTTCTTCTGACCAAGAATCTATAAGTGGATGATGTGTGGAAAGTTGCACTTCAATAGAAAAGCTACACAATTCACATGGAGTTCAATGACATTTTTCACCTATTTCTTTGCACAATGAACTGTGTTGTCAGGGGTGTAGCCTAATATGCTAATGAGTTTCTGCCGTTGGGTGTGGTCTATTATGCTAATGAGTTCCTGCTGGGCTTTTTCTACAAAAAAGGCCCTGCTTTTACCTATATGCTGATGAGGTCTGAACTGGGTGAAAATGTCAACAGAATGCAGAAATGGTAAAAATATAAAGTCTATGCTAGGGGGTTATCAGAAAAAGGAGAGAAAATAAAATGGCCAGTATTGTAAATGTAATCTATAGTGTTGGATGCCACAACATTTCTGTGGGCAGAAAGGAGTGATTTTGCTGATTCTGTGCCCTCCAGTAGGCTTCTGGGGGTTCCCCGTCCCCCACAGTAGCATTTCAGGATGAATTTTGGGCTACAATGGGAGGGGAAGGCAAGAATGTTGTCCTTCGCTGATGAAAATCCTATCGGCTGTAACTTTCAATCATATCTAAGCTGTGCTGTGACAACATTTGCAATATCATGAACAGTACTACTGGTTGTCACATCTTGAAAAGGATATCATAGAGCTGCACAAGGTGCAGATATGGGAAACTAAAAATGATCACAAGAAAAGGCTACAGTTCAAGGGGCTTTTCCATTTCTGGGGGGGGGGGAAATGACTAAGGGGAGGACTTCATACGGATTTATAAAATGATACATGGTATGGAGAAAGTAGAAAGAAATTATATTTCCTCCTTCTCTTCCCAAAATATCCGAACTTGATGTGTAGATTGAGAGCAGCCAAAAGAAAATATTTCTTTGTACAAGATGTAATTACCTTGTGAAATTCACTGCCACAGGATGTGGTAATGACCACAAACTCAGATAGCTTTTAAAAGAAATTAGAGAAATTCATGGAGGATAAGTCCATCAACAGCCATTATTCGTGATGGCTAAGTGGGGATTCCATGTTCACTGGGAGAGCACCTCTGAATGCCAGTGGCGGGGGGGGGGGGGGGGGGGGGGTGGCTTTGGTTCCTGTATCACTGTTGCAGGATTTTCAAGACAACTGGTTGGCCACTGTGAGGTACTACTAGATGCTGGACTAGATAGGCCATTAGCCTGATGCAGCAGGGCTGTTCATATGTTCTTACTCTTCTTAGCATAAGCAGCACAGTTCCTTCATCCCAGCTACATCACTGACGTATCTAGACATCATATTGTTTTCCTAACCATCACACCCCAGAATCTCAAGGCAATGTACATAGTTCTTCTTTTCCTCCATTTTATTCCCACAACAATCTTCTGAGGGAGGTTAGGCTGAGACAATACGACTGGCCCAAGTGAGCTTCATGCTGAGCGGGGCTTTGATGGGTGTCCTCAGACCAACTCAGTAACCCCATTACACTGTCCTGGCTCCTTAATAAGCTAGACAGAGTCTAAAGGTAGTCCAAAAAGAAAGCGAGGCACACACTCAAACGTCCTGAATGCCCCCTTGATAAGCCACAGACTTTGCTACAGATTTTCTATGAACTGAAGCTGAAGCTTTTCTGCAGTCGTTTATGTTTTGAGGAAAAGCTTTCCCCTACTCTTCTCTTTCACTGCAATCTTAAATTAGAAAAGGCCAACAGCTGCTATCAAAGTCTTCTGTGATCATCTGTTTCCTTGCCTGAGGCACTCTCTGAGGGCAGAGAAATGTTTCTTCAGGCTGAAAAGTATCTTAAGGATACTGTTTGAAGGTTGCTTCCACATGGGGATGGGGGGCTTCCGTGAGAGGGTGAAGGGGATTTCCCGTGTTCTCCCCTCACACCTGCTATCTCCCCCTCCCCCACTGCTGAAGCGATTTTTGCCCTAAAAAAGATGGTACTAGGTATATTTCTATAGTTTTAGAACACTATAGTGTCGCGCTCTTCGGTCTCCTGTTCGGGGTTACCCCGGGTTGCCGTGCCGCCTTCCGTCGATGCCCCCCCCCCTTCGATCCACTGGGTAGCTGAAGGGGCTGGGAGTGCTGGGGTGGCCTGGAGCAAAGTGCGCCTTTTCAGAGGTTGCCTCAGACTCAGGCCCTTCAGAGGGTTACGTCACCCTCTTCGATGCCTGTCTGAGCCTGGCAACAGCAGCCTGTGCAACGCTCTCTCTTTCTCACCAGGACTGCCTGTCAGTAAGCCAGCTC